TTTTGCAAGGCCTCATTTTCCATTGTCATGGGAATTTCTCCTAAGAGGTGTCCCCCACCCTTGCTCAACTCTCCATAGGTATTTACATTTTAGTTCGGGACTGTTGTTTGCTGTCAGTCGATATGACTCATAGCGACCCTATAGAACAGAGTAGAACTGCCCCATAGGGTTTCCTGGACTGAAATCTTTTTTTTTTTTTTTTCCCATACAAAAATTTATACATACATTGTTATGTGACTCTAATTGCTCTCCCCATACTGTGACAGCACACTCCTCCTTTCCACCCCTGATTTCCCATGTCTATTCAACCAGCTCCTAACCCTCTCTGCCTTTCCATCTCACCTCTGAACAGAAGCTACCCATTTAGTCTCTTGTATCTACCTGAGCTAAGAGGAACACTCCTCACGAGTATCACTTTATGTCCCACAGCTGGACTGAAATCTTTATGGGAGCAGATTGCCATGTCTTTTTTCTCGTGGAGTGGCTGGTGGGTTCAAACCTCTGACCTTTCAGTTAGCAGCAGAGCGCTTAGCCAATTCACCACCAGGGCTACTTAGCTTGGGACTACTACAGGCCAACACACTAAACTAGTACAGGTTCAAGAGACACTAATGAACTAAATCTCTGATTTACGGTTAGTTTTGGAAATACTGGTCAGCGAGTGCTTTCTGGAATCCTTCAATTAACACCTGCCAACATCTCATGAGACCTGATATCAATGGAAGCACTTGTTCCCATTCCTGTGGATTTCTGTTTGCCTGCCTTTCTTTCTTCCAACTTCAACTCACTTATCTTGCCAACACATAGGACATACATGCTGTGTGATTTGCACCGCACAGAGGGGCAAGGCCTGAGGCAGGGGAGATGGTAGCTTGTGCTGGAGAGGCCACAGTGTATTCACAGCTGCGATACTGTAACTCTCTACAGGAACTGCAGCTCTGTGCAAAGGAGGCTTCCTCACAACACCTTCCTGTAGGGGAGATCCTGCTCTGACTCTGATCCTCATCTCTCAATGGCAGACCACGAACACAAGCATCAAAGCAAAACATTGTCTAACAACAGCAACAACAAAAATAGTGAAAAACAACTTATAACCAGGAATATTTCTCATTTGTTTCATAATTAAGTTCCCACTTTCTTTTATCAACTTCTCTACATGATAAATAAAAGGGAAGTTTAAGAATTCCTTTAGGAGAAGAAGGCACTCTGACACTGGGTGTGTGCCTGGAGAGGAAAAATCATGACGTGACAAGTCCATTCCTTATATTTCATAACCCTGTAGCAGCACCATACAGGCTTGGACCTGCTTGCTTCTGACATTCTTCTGGTTGTTAATTTAGGAAAATATTACAGATTGCAAGGGAACGCTCTTGTCTTTCACAGTAACCTCAGTCATCTTTCTTCCAGAGACCAGCAATTTTTAAAAAACATCATTGTTAGGTATTATAACAAGGGAAATGTTAACAGTGTCTGTGATTTACTTAATGGATAATTTTACTCTCTGCAGTCAGAGTAAATGACATTTATGTGGGATCTGGCCTATGTTGCTTTGAAAATACCTTATTCCAAAGGACGCCAAGCAAAATGCTCAACATTTTCAGACTCCAGGGAAAATCTTTACTTTGTTTCTGACTGAAATGTAATTAATTTCATATTCATGTATGGATTGGGGGGCTACAGAGGGGTGAGGCCAAAAGTGGACATTTGGCTTAAACCACTCGGCCATGTGCTCTTTTCGTATCTACGGTGGAGAAATTTTCACAGCCACAAAAATACCTCTGTAGTCAAAAGCTACAAACTGTCCAGTCTGTATGGGAAAAACAAAACAACAACAACAAAAAAAATGACTTTGTAAGAGAAAGATTTTCTTAAACTTAAAATGCATATGAACACCCAAGGCCATTTTATTTTCATGTTGCAAATTATCAGCAAAAGGCAAAACTTTCTAAAAGAAAAACTAACCACTCTAATACATCATCAAGTCAGAAAAGTTGCCTCAGAAAGCAGTCTTCCCAAAACCGGTGTATTTTTCAGAATTGACAGCTTTCACCGGGGAGGCAGATTTCAGCACTGAAATCCTGTAATTCCTGAGCAGTACTCCAAAGAGATCAACTTTCCTTTTATTACTTTGTTTTGGATTTTTCCGGGGTAGCACCGCAATGTTTTAAAGTCTCTCTGTTCCAGTTAGGGTTTTGTTCATTTTCGTCTGTGTTATCCTGAGATTGTGCTGCTGAATTTTGACTGTCTGTGCATTACCCAAACTAAACCAACAATCCCGGACTCCAAGAGAATACCGGGCTCGCTTACTTCCATGTGGCAACCAGATTGCCGGCTCTCTTGATGATTCATTTCTACCAGTTTGAAAGATCCAGGGAGAGAAGTACCCTGGTAAAGACAGGACAGGGCACACTTTCTTTAATCCCAGCATTGTCAAAGTTCAACTGCAGCCTTAAAAAGGCATTTAAACTTCCTCATCAGTTTCTTCAGCAGCAAAATGGAAATCACCCTAGTATCATAGCACTTAATTTTGTTTCTTTTATAAAGTGCTTTGAAGATGAGAAGAGTTGCATTTATTTTGCTTAGTAATTTAAATTAATGGGGTCAGAAATATGACACATCTTGTGTTTGGTGGCACTTCCCTGATTGTCTTGCTCCACCTATTCCATTGCTTACACATTCCAGTATATCCCACATTCTCCTTGATGACTATCTCCAATTGACTTTACTTTTATTTTATTTTTTATTGTACTTTAGGTGAAGGCTTACAGAACAGATAGTTTCTCATGAAACAGTAGTACACATATTGTTTTATGACATTGGTTAACAACCCCACAACATGTCAACCCTCTCCCTTCTCGACCTTTTTTTTTGGTGAAAATATACATAGCCAAAGATACACCATTTCAAAAATTTCTACATGCACAGTTCAGTGACATCGACTACACTTTTCCAGTTGTGTTGCTATTCTCACTTTAGATGAAGGTTTACAGAACAAAATAGTTTCTCATTTAACAGTTAGTACACATGTTGCCCTATGACAATGATTAACAACCTCACCACACATCAACACTATCCTTACTCAACCTTGGGTTCCCTATCACCAGCTTCCCTGTCCCCTTCTGCCTTCAGGCCCTTGTCCCCGGACTGCTGTGCCTCATTAGTCCTATTTGGTTTTACGGGGCTGTCCACTCCCCGGCTGAACGGTGAACCTTGGAAATGACTTCACCACTGAGCTAAAAGGTGTCTGGGGGCCATACTCTCGAAGTTTCTCCAGTCTCCTTTAGGCCAGTAAATCTGGTCCTTTTTTGTGAGTTAGAATTTTGTTCTACATCCTTCTCCAGTTCCGTCCAGAACCCTCTGTTGTGATCCTGGTCAGAGCGGTCAGTGGTGGTAGCCGGGCACCATCTAGCTGTACTGGACTCAGTCTGCTGGAGGCCTTGGTGGCTGTGGTCCATTAGTCCTTCGAACTAATCTTTCCCTTGTATCCTGTTCTCTTCATTCTCCCTTGCTCCCGAAGGGATGAGACCAGTGGAGTATCTTAGATGGCTGCTCACAGGCTTTTAAGACCCCAGACACTACTCACCAAGGTAGAATGTAGAACATTGTCTTTATAAACTGTGTTATGCCAATTGAGCTAGATGTTCCCCGAGACCATGGTCCCCACAGCCCTCCACCCAGCAATTCTGACTTTACTTTTAGTATTTTAACTCAAAAATTTTATTATTGAACAACAGGATGGATTTTAAGAACTTTGTTCTAGTCATCTGCCCCTAGACAGATTGTAATTTCAATCATCCAGGAAACTGGTTGCAAGCCTAATAATTCCACTCAATTATTAGAATTCAGTTAAGAAAGCTTAATAAATAAGCACATTTGAAAGTCAGAGAATCAAAAAAGCAAAGGAGTCACGTTAGGCATTATTTAGAAAAGTCATTAGCTAACTCCTAGAATATCTCATCTTTTCTCAAGAATTGAAATATTAATATACCTATGGATTAATGCATAAAAGAGCTTACTTTTATTCCCAGTAGTTACTTGAGCTCTGTATTAGACACAACCATATATCACATATATTGAAAAATACATATACAGGTAGTCCCTCACTTAGACAGTGTTCCGTTCTGACAACGCTATCATAAGTCAATTCTGACACAAGTAGCATATTTCTTTTTTTTTTTAGTTTTCATTATTATTGTCTTTTATTATCATTATCTTTATAAAACCAATCTTTATTTGCTGTTTCAGGTTGAAAACATTACATATAAACTTACAGATAGATTTTAATACATACATGCATTAAAAAACACACAAATCATTAAAAAAAAATGAACGGTCATATGTGCTATTCGTTGCAACTCGAATACATCGTAAGTCGGGGACTACTTGTGGTTGGAGTTAACACACTTGACTGCTAAACAAAAGGTTGGTGTTTCAAGTCTAGCCAGAGGTGTCTCAGAAAAAAGGCCTGATGATCTACTTCCAAAAAATCAGCCATTGAAAACATATGGAGCACAGGAGTTTGCCATGATTCAGAATCAACTTGATGGCAACTAGTGGTATATTTTAGCTAAATGTTTATTTTGAATGTGATGAATATATTAAACGAAAAGTTATATGTTTTTGTCTTGACATATTTTCAATAGGTACATAGCATTCAGGCTAACAGAACTAAGAATCCTGGCCAAAAAATGCACTAGAAGAAAATGAGAGAAAATGGTCACAAGTTACCTAAAACACTACAATAGAGATTACTCAAAAGGAAAATTCAGGAGGAGGGGAAAGTTGGATTTATGTTATTTTTTTATGGTCTGAGTCCTGCAATCTTTTCAGAACATTGGACAATATCAAATTCATTTTTAACCAATTTGAAAATATTCCCAATTATGTTTTCTTCATTTTTTTTTGTAAAATATGTTTTATTTATTTAATTTTAGAAGCTAAACGTTCTTTCAATTAGTGCAAGTGAATATGCTATTTTTAATTTTTTTTTTTAATTTCAGCTTGAGAGTTTTCTTTGGACTTTGCTTCATGAATCCCTCTACACACCTTCTGGGGTGACACTGACTGAATCCATCACTAGTCGAGAAACCCAGACACAGGAGAACAACAGAATAGCAAAACAAAGAGTTGAGGAAATGAAGTAGAACTGTACTCATGCCCTGGCTGTGTTTATACAGAGCATTCCATGCATTGCCATCCAAAAAGGAAAGGAAAAAGTGAATTCGACATACCCAGGCAGTGAGGTCTGTCTAATTAAGAACAAAGTTGAGTGTTAAGAAGAAACCACTGATGCTCATGGAATCATGGTTTTTATTTTATTTTTATTTTTTAATTCCATTAGTCATAGATTTTATTAAAGTTACAGTGTGATCCTGGATTGCAAATGTCATTTATTTCCTGATTAGTCAATGCCAAATGAACACTGGGCCTCCTTTAAGAAGGCTTCTATACCAGCAGTCTCCCTTAGCTGACAGTGTAGCTTGCCTGCTTGATACAGGACAATTCCTGTTACACTGACAATGCTTCTCTCTGGCTAATAGGAAAAGTGTCACACTAAGGAACTCATAAGTATCAGGAGGCCAGAGGCTCACTGTTGACCTCTGTAGAAAACTACCCACGGAAACTGTTCTACTACAAAAACACTCTTTTGTGGTTACTTTGGGCAGCCAAGCTGAGAGACTTAGTTTAACAGAAAGTCACACAGGACCAGAAACGAACTGGAGGCTGGAAATCAAAGATCTAAAATGTATAACTCTTAGAATCCCCAGAGTAGCCCAGACAGTATTGAATGAGCACTGTGTTTTGACATTGCAAAAATCCCCTACATTACCAAGTTGATTTGAACCTCGCACAGTAGGTCAGATAAGGGTCAGCCAATGCCATCCAAACTGAGTAGCAAAGTTTGACTAAGCAAATGTCTTTATATCCATGCATGTATTTGCATAACATTTAGTAATAAACCCAAGTTGGCTTCTTAACGTAAGAGGAGTCTGATATTTATCCTAGGTTTGAAGTGGGCTGTATATTAAAGTGAGGTGTTAGAGAAAGGGTCAATGATAGTGCTTCCAACTATCCTCAATGTTCATTATGAAAACATTCTTTTTGAACACATAGGAAGGAGTGTTTAATTCATACTACCAAATTCTCGTTCATAGTTGGCTGTATATGAATCTCCAGAAATGTCAGATGAAAGACTTGGCACTTTGAAGAATCTAAAACAAGAAGAGAATAAGTACTATATCATTCTAAGAAGAAAGGAACTAGTATTTTCATATACATAATCATACCAGACACTTTTATATTTTTTGTTTAATTCTCACAACTTTTTATGGAACTAGTGTTATTTGCATTTACGGGTGACGAATTTGAAGCTCAAGGAGCCCTGGTAGTGCAGTGCTTAAGCACTTGGCTGCTAACCAAAATGTCGGCCGTTCAAACCAACTAGCCACGCCACACGAGAAAGATGTGGCAGTCTGCTTCTGTAAAGATTTACAGCCTTGGAAACCCTAAGGGGTAGTTCTACTCTGTCCTACAGGGTTGCTATGAATTGGAATCAACTCGACAGAAATAGATTTTTGTTTTGTTTTGTTTTGTTTTGTTTTGGAATTTGAAGCCCAGAGAGTTTTAGTAAATTGCCTACCCCACACAATATGCAAGTTGACAGAGTCAAGATGCTGTTCTTTTTTATAAATCTGAAAAGAAAAAGAGGGTGAATTGTTTTTTTCATTTTGGACTCATTGATAAATGTGGTTATTTACATAGCACATTATAGCTTGTGAAAGGCAAACATGTTGACTTCACTTGATTATTTTTCTTCAAAAAAATAGAATATATTCTTGCATGTTGTGACAAAAGTTGAAATGAGCATGGCATTTTTGGGTTTGAATAAAATATAACATATTTTTTAAAGAGTGCACATTTGTTCCAAATGTTTTCTGAGAACTGTTATTCTATTAACTGATGAACATGATGACAGGGGCACCATTTAGAGGAAATGATTTATTATTACAGTGCAGTCATATGTCTGTATGAATGTTCTATCCATCAGATTCTGACCCACTGTCAGCACCATGAGAACCCTGAGCTGTTTCTCCAGAAATGGAGAAGTGATTGCCTTGAATCAACTAGATTTTCACTCAGTTCTTGTTGTTACCAATAGCCAATACTTAAAATATGTCTGGATAGGACTAATTTTCTTTATCCAGCACTAACAGGTACCTTACAAAGATTGCCTGTGGTCTCATAGCAATGATGATGATGATGATAACGATGGTGTAGTTAATAGCTACTTAGCAAGGAACATGCAGCTGGTTAGATGGTAGAAAGTAGATTCTAACTCAGGTCTGTCATGCCAGAACGTAGGTTTTGAATACAGGTCTTACAAATTCATACTTTTAAAATTGAATGCACAAATTGCAGGCTTAAGAACCATGTTATTTTCACAACAGTTTAGGCTAAAAATAACACATATATAAGTTAACTAAGGGTGACATTGTAATTTACCACATTTCATCAATTATAATAAACGTGCTTTTTTCAGATTTTAGCATCTCTGAAATCAGGATGCATTTTAGTTTTGTGTCACACTTTAATTGGCAGTGATTTTTCCCCCATTTTAGTGGTATGTACAATAATAGTGTAACTTACAATTGATGTCATCTTAGAGTTCATTAAATATAGTAAATTAAAGCCGAATCTTGTTTACTTAACAGACTATAAGAATAACCTGGCTACCTTTAAACCTTAAACCAAAAATATCCCCTGAAGTCTTCTTAAAATCAAATAAAAGTTTAGCTTAACTAGCAAAGAATGTCTGCCTTGAACATCGTGCTCTTTTAACATCTATTTATATGGGATCAAATTGACAACAACAATTCAAAAAGACTGTGTTATGGGGCAGTGAGTTTATGTTAATGGGGGAGTGTCTTAGTTATCTAGTGCTGCTATAACAGAAATACCACAAGTGGATGGGTTTAACAAACAGAAGTTTATTCTGTCACACTTTAGGAGGCTAGAAGTTCAAATTCACCTCGCCAGCTCCAGGTGGGGAAGGCTTTCTCTGTTGGCTCTGGGTGAAGGTCCTTGTCTTCAATCTTCCCCTGTACTAGGAGCATCTCAGTGCAGGCACCTCGGGTCAAAAGGATGTGTTCCTCTCCTAGTTTTGCATTCTTGGTGGTAGGAGGTCCCCCTGTGTCTCTGTTCACTTCTCTCTTTTATACCTTAAAAGAGATTGACTTAAGACACAACTTAATCTTGTAGGTTGAGTCTTGCCTCATTAACATAACTCTCTAATCCCGCCTCTTTAACATCATAGAGGTAGGATTTATAACATATAAGAAAATCACGTCAGATGACAAAATGGCAGACAATCACACAATACTGGGGATCATGGCCTAGCCAAGTTGACATATATGTTTTGGGGGGCACAATCCAATCCATGACAGGGACAAACAACTCATAAAGGGATGGTGAGAATAGTTGCACAATTCAAAGAATGTAATCAATGTCAATGAATTGTACATGTAGAAATTGTTAAATTGATGCATGTTCTGCAGTGCATATTATCAAAAAACAACAAAGATAAAATAAATTATTTTTTAAAGAAGATTCATATATTTAACATATTTTATTACTCTTAAAAATGTTTATGAGGACTTCCGTCAAAATGGCGATCTAGGCAGAAGCACCACGCCGTCCCTCCACAGCAGAAACCTGAAAAACTAAGCTGAACAGAGAAAACAACAATCCTGAAACCCTAAAACATCAAATGAAGAGATAAAGAACTCAGCCAAGCACCAAAAGGAGTGAGAAAACTGACAGAGAATGGACAGTGAGGAGAGATTCATGCAGAGGTCCCCTATCAGCTAACGCAGCATGGATCCACCATTTTGGACTCCTATTGGAGACCAACAAACAGGGGGTATGAGAAAGCAGCTTCACGGAGATTCCAGCGGAAGACAAAACAACCGGTAATTTACAATATACACTTTCCCAACCTCCACCCTTCTTCACCCCCACTCGGCCTCCTCTGCTTCCCGCAGCCACAGTCTCTTGTCTGGGAAGTACCGGCTGCTTGGATTCCACACACCCAAATGGGCCGGCTCTGAGTGCCATTTCTTGGCTGCTGGTGTTGCTTTTTTCCGCTTCTTTTGATTTCTTCCTTACCTCTCACCACCTCCCCACCTTTTGCTCAAATACATGGCCCCGTGAGACATCTTTGCTTCTTCCTGAGGGGCTGCGGAGCTCTGGTAATTTGTGATATACACTTTCCAACCCCCTACCCTTCTTTACCCACACTCGAGCTCCTCTGCTTCCTGCGGGCACAGTCTCTTGTCCAGGAAGCACCGGCTCCTTGGATTCCACCAGCCCGCACTAGCTGGCTCTCTGAGTGCCATTTGTTGGCTGCTGGTGTTGCTTTTTTCCGCTTCTTTTGATTTCTTCCTTACCTCTCACCACCTTCCCCTCCTTTCGCTTAAATACATGGCTCTGTGCACCATCTTTGCTTCTTCCTGAGGGGCTGCGGAGCTCCGTTCAAGTGTGGAGCTGCATCCCAGTCTGGGCTGCCATGATGGTGGGATCCCGGGGCTTTTGTTTGTTTGTTTGTTTTGGGTTGTTTGTTACTTTTCTTTTCCTTTTCTTGACTTGGGAGCCTGTTCTGGCCAGCCGGTGCTGTGCGGCTTGGAGCCTACCCACTCAGCTTGCGCAGATGCACAGAGGGATCCCTGAGAACATTTCTTTTCTCGTTGTTTTTTTTTTTTTTCCTGTTTTTTGGAGGGCTTTTCTCGTTTGTTCTTTTTTTTAAATTTATTTTGTTTTCTTTTCCCTCTTTTTCCCTTTTTGTCTTTATTACTCAGTTTTTTATCTCTCTATATCTTCCTTCTCTTTCTGTTCCCTGAATACCTGGCATTGTATACCTCTACACCTTCTAGCCAGGCTGTACTGCAACACCTCAGAACAACTTCCCCAGACATCATAGCCGCACTGGTGGGATCCCCGGGAACTTTGCTGTTCTTTTCCCTTTTTGATTTTTATTTATTCATTCTTTTCTTTTCTTTTTTTTTCCTTCCTCTTCTCCCTTTTGTTTTTCTCCATTTCTTGGTCTCTCATCTCTCCACTCCAACGGCAAGCTCCCCTAGCATTCTTTTTTGTTTGTTTGTATGTTTTGGCTCCTGTTCCTCTCTCCTCTCTCCCATATCCATCTTAGCTCCACACATAACAATCTCCCCACTACATCCTGCCTACCTGCACCGTATGCTTGGCATCGCACCACCAAGCAGTGCAGGCATGGCCTGCTAGAACCTGCCCTGCACTGATTGCCAGCCTGCCCTGGTGGCTGTAGTAAATGCTACAAACAACCCATCCCAGTGGCTCCTCTTCAGCTAGACCTGTCCTGCCGTACCATATCTGAGTGACTGACCCTGCCAATTGGAGAAGGAGGTGAAAAGCACTGTGCCCACAGACAAGCAAACAACAAAGAACACACAGCCCACCTGCTCAGACATAGCCAAATTAAAAAAAAAAAAAAGGGACAAAACAAACAGATCTACAATCAATAAATGAGAAAAATAACTACTGAATGCCCTGAAGACAACAGACAATATCAAAACATTTACAAAAATAGGACAGGATGGTTCCAGTAGGCATCCAAAATAAAACAACAGATGACTTTCCAGTGGAAGAAAAGGCACTAGAACTACCTGATAGGGAATTCAAATCTGTAATACTCAGAATTCTCCAAGAACTGAGGCAAAAAGCAGAC